AAATAAATAAATCTTAAAAAGAAATTCTAGAATCATTTCTTTAGAACTCATTTGTTTTCACTTTGCTGTCACTAATGAGAAGAATGAAGCCTTAACTGATCGAAGTTCTGGCTTTACTCTGTGAGTGGCTATTATTATTATTATTATTACTATTATTACTTAATTCAGTAAGTTTTGAACAGGTTCTTGGAGGTCTATTTTGTTCTGTGTGTCAGCTTCCACCTGCATAGCCAGACTGAGTGGAACCTAGCTAGCTTGAGGTAAGAACCACTAATTAGGAATGGATCTCCTAGGAAGAGAAGTTACAGAGGATCAAATTCTGTCAGTCAGAAATGTGTCTGGGAACAGAGAGCTGCATAGATTTCAGACGGAAAATCAAAGATTTGTCTTTAAGCTTGGCCATTTACTGCAACAACTTAAGGCCACACATGGGATGCCTTTATCCCTTGTCATCCTGCCTGGCTGAGTCCTGGCTACTCTGCAAATGAAGTTTCCTGCTAATTGCATCTCAGGAAGCAGCAAATGATGGCTCAAGCAGTTGAGTCCCTGTCACCTGGACAGCAGTTTTGGATGGAGTTCCTGGATCCTGGTTTCAACCAGGCCTAGTAATGGATGTTGCAGACATCTGCAGGCTAAGCCAGTAGAGCAGAGATGTCTCTGTTCTCTCTCTGCGCATACTTAGGTCTATCTTATTCCTACTCTTTCAAGTAAAATGGAAATAGTAAAAGTTTGTTTTAGAAAGATTCGTATTTAGACAATGGGATGTTTATAGAGACAATTTCAGGAGCTGAATTGCTCCTGGGTGTTTGGGTGCATCTGATTTGGAAAACCCTATAGACAAGTACAGTAGAGTTATGTTTTACAGAGGATCAGATCTAATGGTGTCTGACAAAGGAATTGTGATGGTGCTATTGTTTATCCACATTAATCTGCTGGTGAATTATAAAACTATCCTTTTAATAAATGTCATTTCTTAGCATATTGGAGTTTTCCAGAAAGGAGTAGGATTTTCTCTTAAAATTCACATATATACCACAGGTTATCATTATACATCAATCTTAAGGCACCAAAAATAACCACATGTATTGCTTTATCTCTTATGTCTTCTTATGACATATAATTAACGTCTACATTGTATGGAGCATGTATTGTTTTATGCAAGTCTGTTCTGGTTCATTTTCTTTTATGGGGATGCCACAAATTCTCAGACACAGAAAAATAAATATATAAACATTCAAATAAAGCTGTGACTCAGCCCAACCCAAGAGAATTAAAACTGAATTTACTACTTTTTCCCCCAAGTGAATGATGCTGGAGTGAAGCCCTGACTTCTTTGCTTGCCATTCAATTCATAAGTGACTGGTTTCTCATTGTGCCTCACCTGTGTTACTGCAATAGCTTTCTTTCTTTTTCTAAATTTTATTTTTAAATAATGATTACATGATTGATCAGGGTGGAAAGGATCCAGGTTTAGGGAAAATTGGGTGAACTCATAGCTTCCAAATCTGCTATTTCTTGTTGTTGTTCCTAGGGGAAGGGGAGAGACAACGGGGGAAACCGCTCATGACTTTCCATATGTCCCAGTACACAGGGTTGAGGAACCACCACCTCATATCAAACCACAGTCTCAACGTGTACATATTCCAAGGGTTCTGTTCAAGTAGTTTGGAGAGTTCTGAAATGCTGCCAATTTCACCGATCCAAGGATGATGTCATCCTCCCAATTAAATTGGGTTATGATGAGGACTAGTAGCTAAGTTATGAGTCAATTTAAGAAAATTTATCTTGTCATTTCCTGGGAAATCACAATGAAATGACATCTGTGGATATCAGTATATGAGGCAGGAATGATGAATGGGATTTCATGGTAAATAACTCATTTTTCTTCAGGCAGATATTTCCCTAAGTGTAAGAAATGCTCAATAAACCTGTAAACTGTAAGGACTGTGATGTGTGATGTTAGCAACGACAGCTACCAAAAGCTTTAAATGAGAGAATTTGGATGGACAAAGCAAATAGAATTTTCAGAAAGTGGCAATCTTTTTAAAACATCAAAAAATGTTCTTAATTATAAATGTTCAGGATAATCATTTTCTCTAAGATTTTCATTGAAATTTTAGTTATTTTTTGAAACTCACAAAGAAGTTAAGAGATCAGAATGCTGTTCACTCGTTGCAATTTGGCTGATTCTGTCATTATAATCACCAGCACAGCCATTGAACAAGAACTTTGAAAGGTGAAAGCTAACTTTAGTCTCAGCCATTTTACATGGATTTTTTTTCTATACAAAGAAAAAATGAGGGTTAGATTAGAAAAGATAAATGACTAGGTTTAGATTTAGAAATGCAGAATGTATTGGATTTTATTTTTGTCTTAGAGGTTAAGGGCCATGTTTCCAGAAAATGGCTACTTTGTTACAGTGAAGAGACTATTATGTTTAAAAATACTTCTTAGGTTTTTGCTGTCCACAGGTCCCTGTGTGTCCAGGAGGCATGTGCCAGTTTTCTGCCGTCCCTCATAAGCAGCATTCTAATGGAAATCTATGACTTGGCCATTATTATTGCTTCTGTGAATATTTGCCTTATGATTTAAGCCTGCAGCCCCAGGAACCACAAGAAATTCTCTAAAAATGATAATGTTGGTAGTGTTTATGTTATTTTTCTTGAGCATGTTTTTCACTTTTATTCTACATGTGCTAGAAAAAAATGGCTTCCAATTTATGTAATTGTGGAAACGAGAAAAAGCTGTTGGGATATGAGGCTTCTGAAATGAGCAAGAAGGTCAAAATGGATGTGATGACTATGCATGGTGCACTTGGCTTGAAATATTTAGCTTTGATGTTTTATAATTGCTTCGTATGTTTCAGTGAATTTAACGTTGTCACTAAAATGGTACCTAATTAATCCATTCTTGCAATGTATAAAAATGTACTGAGTGCCTCTAATTCTCCTGCTGCTGTATTTATTAATAGCAGCGTACATTGCTTAATGTGTGCTTTTATTTGAAAAGCATTTCTGTAAATGTTTTCTTTTCTCACTTTCTCTTTGTGGACTGTCACAATTTGGCACCAACATTCAATGGGAGAGCTCATCAGAGCAATTGGTTTAGAAATACTTCTCCATTTATCAAAAGGTTTACACTGTTTTTGAGAAGTGTTGGTAAGATTACTTGTAGATTTTCTTAGGCTGGTTTCCTTAGAAAGCTGAAATAGTAATGCCAAAAGCAAATGACTGTTCAGGGCTGCAGTAAAAGCAAAGGATCAGACAGTGGAAAGTGAGAGTGCTGTAAAGTGGAGAGTGCTACAAAGTTTCAACACAGGAACACAGCCTGCCTCTTTTGGAGTCAAGTGGGATGACCTGGTGCAATCCTTGTTAGCATGTTATTGATTGTTTTCTGGAGAAGGGAGGGGGCATCTATCAGATAAGACACAGACCATCTCATTGATGGGAATTAAAGCTACTACAGGCTATCTAGTCAAAGCATCAACAGCATCCATCATGTACATGAGTGATAATTTGAAAGAAGAGCAGCTTATTGGATCTAGATTCCATCATTACCCCATCCCCAGAACACATCCATCAACACTTGAAATCAAAGGTGGAAAATCAAACTGTATTCAGTTTCCTTTGATTATAAAAACAGTTTCAAAACAATACTGAGGACTTGGAATTTTTGTTTTTCTGTAGTATTCTATATGTCCAACGCAGCTATTAAATGCATTCTTGTCACCAATGAATAAAAATTAGTTCTTGATCGCGTCTTGGCCTTTTGGCTAAGATCAAGTGTAAAATTAGTTCTTTGAGAGAGGACCTGAAATACTGTCCGTTAAAAAGTAAAAGTATCTTAAATGCCAGATTTGCTCAGACAAGTCTTTCTCCTGTCTTAAATCTCAGTTGGGGATGTGGTATTTGTATATATACATAACTGATTCAGACAGGATCCAAGTGTTTGTTGTGTTCAGTGAGTGAAGGCCACTTAACTTCTTTCTTCCAATAGATTATTATGTTGTGCCAAAGGATTGCTTCCTAGTAGAATGCCTCCAACCCTCTTTTCCTTCCCATTGTGGAGCAGATGGAGCTGAGTTTTCTTTGAAAAACAGCTTTTATTCTTTGTTACTACCTACCAGAATGAAGAAGTGTTTCAGAGATACTAGGTAACCTTGTATGAGGACAGTGGAAATTTTACTAGTTCAATGAATTAGTATAATATTTTTGTGTTTTGTTCTGTTTAAATTGTCAAATAGTTGATAGGACGATGGACTCTCTACCATTGTCCATACCTAAAATATCAGGATAAACTTAGAGTAGAATGATGGATTTACAATTGTTTATGAAGGATTATAGTACTGTTATAATACAAGGGGAGTCAGTGGGAATGAGGGGACTTCGGAAGGAAAGAAGGGAAATCCCAGAGCCTATGAAACCGTATCATATAAATAAATAAAGTGTCAAATGGTTTCCAGAGGAATAGAGGCATATGAAAGTTCTTCGAATGATACAACTGACTTTGAAGTGTAAGACTAACAGTAGCAATAAACAATGGCAAGTTTCCATCTTAGATCAAAGAGTATTTTCTGATGATGTTCCTCTGATTGCATTTATGTTTGATTATTCAGATTTAGTAAGCAGAAATATGATATGCAAATAAACTCAGAATTTAAAGAGATACTAATTCAGTTCTGTGTTCAAGCTGATATTCCAACCTTTTCACTCTGTGCAGGATTTTGCTAACTTATTTTTAAAAAGATTTGCTTATTTGTTTGACAAGCAGAGAGAGAGAAACAGAAATTTTCCTTTTGCTGACTCATTCCCCAGATGCCTCCAAAGCTGGGGGTGATCCAGGATGAAACCAGGATCTAGGAACCTCATCTGAGTTTCCCTTGTGAGAGACATGAACTCAGATAATTGTGCCCCATCTGCTGCTTTTACAGGTAAATCTGCAGAATGTGGGCATCTCAGGCAGTGGTATAACCCATGTTATGACATTTTTGTTGTTTATAGAAACTTCCAACTCAGTGAAGAAGAAAATTGGATTTATCAGGCTGTTTTGGATCAGTATCCTGGAGATCTCTATGGCAGAAGGACTCTATACCTGGATATGTTACAAAGATACTTTCCTCACAAATCTAGGCGGCATTTGGTGAGTGCTGAACCTCACTATCTAATGGGAAGTTACATTGTTTTAGCAATCAGTTGTTCAGTGGATACACATCCCCTCACACACACGTATTTAAAACGGCATATATATATATATATATTATGTTTGCTGAGCCTCCAAGTTCAAGGCTGGTCTGGCTAGTGTTTGAAACCCAGGTGTTTGCATAGTCACCTGCCTACCCTCACAGGTCCTGCAATTCACAGAACCTTCCAGATGCCATTCCCTCCAATGGGGGGAAGCTGACACTGGCCTTGAGGTCAGACACTTACCTATAGTCTCTCCACCACCACTTGTCTGCCTATACTCCCTGGATTCATCAGGAACACAAATGTCCACGTTTAATAATTCAGGGACATGACTTAAATTTTCTGTAGAAGGAACTGGAAAGTTTATTGTTATGACTTTAGTTGGCATAGAGAAAGGCAAAAAAATGAAGGTTGTTGCATCATCAATTCTACAAAAAACATAACATATTTAAATGAGGATATTTATTCTCAACTTTCAAATGAACTGTGTAACAAAATATTATCACATCTGCTTCCATTTTATGGTTACTTTAAATTAAGCAGTAACATCAACACTCGTGTATAGTGTCAGTCCTGTGGAGAACCCATGCACTCACCAAACAGTTTCTGTTTCTGTTATCTTGGTTTCTGAATGAAGATAATGAAGGGAAGGTCACTCAGTGGGACCATATTCTCTCTTGATTTCTATTTGGTTTTGTGCTGGCCTTTATTTTGAAGTGGATATGCATTATTAACAATTCACTGGGACTTTTACAATTCTTAAATTAAATCTTTATTTCCAACTTGCTTCTGTAACCAGCTATCATTTTTAACTTTATGGATTTGCATATTTTTCCCACCATTAGCATGGTAAAATTTTCACACTTACTTTTTACATTGAGTTGGTTGGTATGTGACTCTGCCAGTATATATGTCCTTTCCTTCTAAAACATGTCATTTTAATCAAATAATCCATTAGCTTGAATATGGAAAATTACAGCAATAAATTGTACAACTTTGACTAACGTTTTCAATCACTGACCTCAGTTTCAACTTTGAAAAAAAATTGTTTCTTAAATTATTTTATTCTAAATTTTTTTAGATTAACATGTAAGACTTACACATTTTTATGGAGTACATTGCAAAATTTCAATACATACATATAGCATAAAATGATCATTCCAGGCAGGTGGCCTTTCCCTTTCTTTTACTTGGGTTGGAGGCAATGAAGTCCCTCTTCCAGTCCTTTATATAATATATAATGGATTATATGATCCTTTATAATATATAATCCTATATAATATATAAATATTAATGTGTTATATATTGTATAATATATAAATATATAACAATCCTATATAAGATATAAAGGATTATTGTGAGCTCTGGCTGCACCACTCTGCTATGGAACGCTGAAACTTGTTGCTTCTGTGTGTGTTTTGGCACTCATTACCAAAACAATCTAGGTACACCTAGGTTGATTCTGCATCTTGATTGTTGTGAATAATGTTGCAATGAACATAGGAATCTAGGTATCTACTCTGTATGTTCATGTTGTTTCCTTTGAGATATATATCCAGAAAAACAGTAGCCACATCATACAGTGTTTTGAGAAACTTCCATGCTGTTTCTCCATAAAGGTTGCGTTAATTTGCATTTTTACCAACAGTGTGTAAGTGTTCTTTTTCTTCATATCCACATTAGTGTTTATAATTTTTGCCTTTTTTTAAAAAAGGATTTGTTGTATTTTTATTTCAAAGAGTTACAGAGAGGACACACAACAGAGAGAGAGAGAGAGTCAGAGAGAGTGAGACAAAGAGAGATCTTGCATATATTAGTTCACACATCAATGGCTGGTATGGCTGGAGTAGAGCTAATATGATGCTTGGAGCCACAGCTTCTTTTGGGTCTCCTATGTGGATGCAAACCCGAGTACTTGGGCAATCTTCTGCTGTTTTCCCAGGCCATAAGCAGAGAGTTGGCTGGATTGAAAGTGGAGCAGCCAGGACGAGTACCAGTACTCATATGGGATGCTGGCACTTCAGGCCAAAGCTGAGCCTGCTGCACCACTGCACCAGTCTCAATTCTTTTTCCTTTTGTTGAATTATTCTAATAAAGTTAGGTGATATTTCATTGTGCTTTTGATTTAAAATCCCTTAATTACAGGGGTTATCGAACATTCAGGTATTTGTTGGCCATACATACTTCATGCTGTCATTTGTGCCTGTTGAGCCTTTCATCTATTTCTTAATTTGGATTACGATTTTGCTGTTTCAGATTCATAGTTTACAAATATTTTCTTTAATTCTCGTTTGGCCCTTCACTCTGTTGATTGTTTTTCTTATGGTAAAGCTTCTTAGTTTGATATAATCCTCTTTCTAGTTTTGCTTTTGTTGGCAGTACTACTACTGACTTCCCAAAAAACCATTGGGCATGTAATTTTCTTCTAGTGGCTTCATAGTTTCAGGGCTTACGTTTACTTCTTTGGGTTGTTTTTTTGTATACAGTGGGAGATGGGGTAGTTTCAGTTCTTTGCGTATGGATATTCAGTTCTCCCAGAGTCACTTTTTGAGTCTGCCTTTTCTCCAGTATATGTTCTTCAAACCTTTGTGAAGGGAGGCTTTAGGCAAATGGACTAATTTCTAGGACCTCTATTCTGTTCCATTGGTTAGTAGTCTGATTTATGCCAATACCATGTTATTTTAGTTACAAATCTCTGTATTGTATTTTGAAATGTGGTATTGTGATATCTTCAGATTTGGCTTTTTATTTTAAAATATTTTTATTATTTTAATTAAAAATTATTTTCTACAATACATTTTTGAAAGTATAGGGATTCATCTCTTTATTTCTTCCTTCTCCTTCCAGATTTTCCCCATTTTTTAAAAAGATTTATTTTTATTATTTTTTATTGGAAAGGCAGATATACAGTGAGGAGAGACAGAGAGGAAGATCTTCCATCCGATGATTCACTCCCCAAGTGAGCGCAACGGGCCGATACTATGCCAATCCAAAGCCAGGAGCCTCTTCTGGGTCTCCCACGCGGGTGCAGGTTCCCAAAGCTTTGGGCCGTCCTCGACTGCTTTCCCAGGCCACAGGCAGGGAGCTGGAAGGGAAGCGGGGCTGCCGGGATAGAACCAGTGCCCTTATGGGATCCCGGGCGTGCAAGGCGAGGACCTTAACCACTGCGCCACCGCGCCGGGCCCGATTTTCCCCATTTTTGCCATTTTTTTCCGTATTATCACAATAGTGTATAATCCCTTAATATAAGTTACAAATTTAAATTTTTGGACATTTAAATGTATCATGACATGAAAAATACAGTCAAAGGTAGAAAAAAAAAACCAGTATCATATTTTAGAGACACATGTAAAAATTTTATTCAGAGTCCTACTTTTATTTGGAAGTAGAGACACATACTGTATGGTACATATGCTGATCTTCCTTGCATAGCTCATGAATGGATATATATTTGTTTATATATATATATATTATACACATTTACATGATTTCCTGGAATAAATCCCATCAGGTAACTGTGAGTTGTGTCTTTGATACAGAGTTATATGTAATGTACTTGCATTGTGTTGGGAATTTTTATATCTATGTTAATATACTTATATATTATACTTTGTGTCTTGGTTGCCTTATATCAGAAAGAACATATGATATTTTTACTTTATTTCATTTTATGACATAGTTCCATAGGCTCTGGGATCCCCGAACCTCTCCTCAAGCCCTCCCCCCATCTTGATTTCCTCCATATTATTACAGCATTACAGCTATAACCAGTCATAATTCCATCATTGTGGGCATGGACATTGCCGAGTCCAGCATCTTATTGTCCAGATAAATTCAACAGTTTCATTGGGAGACCATCCTTGATCTGAAAGGAGAGCTGGCAAAACATCATCCCCTCCAATGAAAAGCCACAACACAAATTCAACAACAGGAAGAAACATGGAAATTTACAGTATCATGAAGTTAATTGACATGGTACTGAGTGACCAATGAGACTGGCTTGATCAAGATTGCTTTGACTATTTTGGATGATTTTTGCTTCTTTCTTTTTTCCCTAATTTTCAGGAGAATGTCATTAATATTTGCATTGGTCTGTATATAGTTTTTGGATAGTATGGATTTATCTAAATTTTATTTTACTTTAAAATCAGAGAGAGAGTGATCCTCTATTCACTAATTCATTCCCCCAAATGGCTGCAGCCATTCTGAAGCTGGGAAAGCTGGGAGCCAGGAGCTTCTCCTGGGTCTCCCACTTGGGTACAGGATCCCAAGGCTTTGGACTATCCCTCTACAGTTTTCCCAGGTCAATAGGAAGGAGCTAAATGGGAAGCAAAGCAGCTGGGACTCAAACTAGTGTCCATATGTGATATTGGCACAGCAGGTGGGGATTACTATTCTACAACACTGGCACCTGTATGGATAGTTTAATAACTTTAATTCTTTCAACCCATGAATGTGGGAGGTATTTCTGTGTCTCCATTTTATTTTTGTTTTAAAATGTTTCTTTGCCACAGTCTTTTACATTCTTCATTAAGCCAATATTAAGATTTTTTTTCTTGTAATTATTTTTGATTGCTTTCATAGATTTTTTTTCTCAGTGAATCTGTTATTAATTTATAAAAATACTACCAAGTGTTGATTTTGTGTTCTGCAGCTTTACCCAATATAACAATTTTAAGAGTCTCTTGATGGAGTATTTAAATCTTTGTCTATGGAATCAAGTCATCTGCAAAAAGGGACATTTTGACTTCTTTTGCTGTTTGTTTGCTCTTTAACTCTTTTTCTTCTGCTAATGGCTCTGTCTGTGGCTCAGACTTTCACTGATACATAAAATAGGAGCATTGAGAGTGAGCCTTCCTTTATGTTTCCATTTCAGAGGAAATGATGTTACATTTTCCCCATTAAATACGATTTTGGTTGTGGGTTTGACATACATGGCTTTTATTATGGAGACAT